TCTCTCTCTCTCACTCACTCACTCACTCACTCACTCACTCACTCACTCACTCACTCACTCACTCACACACACAAATCTTTTACATTTTAATTTACATTTCAATTTGATTTTAGGGCTTAAGTGTAATTTTGACATAGTACCAAAACTTTAACGTAAGTATGATTTCTGTCTTTTTACACCAGTTTCTACAGCATACCATAAGGTTTTTTTTTTTGATTCAGTGGAGAGAGATTGTTTTGTTATTTATTTTTCTAATGTATATTTAATAGCACAAATTGCCAAGGTAGGACACCTGCCAGGACTTCCTTGACTTTTTCCCTTTCATAATGTGAATTCAAGTCAAGTCAAGTCTGCTTTATTGTCAATTCTTCCACATGTACAGCACATACACACAGAGAATTGAAATGGGCAAGGTCGGGAGGGAGTTCAGCTTCCTGACAGCCTGATGGATGAAGCTGTCCTTCAGTCTGCTGGTCCTGGCCTGGAGACTCTGCAGTCTCCTCCCTGATGGCAGCAGACTGAAGAAGCTGTGTGTTGGGTGGGTGGGATCACCTGCAATGCAGAGGGCTTTGCGTGTGAGACGGGTGTTGTAAATGTCCTGGAGGGAGGGGAGAGAGGCACCAACGATCTTCTCAGCTGCTCTCACTATGCGCTGAAGTGTCTTGCGGCAGGATGCGTTGCAGGCACCATACCACACAGTGATGCAGCTCGTCAGAATGCTCTCGATGGTGCCTCTGTAGAAGGTGTACATGATGGGGGCCGGGGCTCTGGCTCTTCTTAGTTTGCGGAGGAAGTAGAGACGCTGCTGTGCTTTCTTGGCCAGTGCTGTGGTGTTGTCAGCCTAGGAGAGATCATCTGTGATGTGCACACCCAGGAACTTGGTGCTGCTCACCCTCTCCACAGTCACACCATTGACGGACAGAGGAGCATGCTGAGTGTGCGCACTCTCCTGAAGTCAACAACAATCTCCTTTTTCAGCTGGTATTCATAAAAGTCCTGAGGGTCGACTCAGTCTCAGCCAGAGTCTTCGCTCTTCCTTCTGCTCTGCTCCGGTAATCCTTAAAAGAGAAAGGGAAACACTTAATGCAGGGTCAGTCCTCAGCTCCAGGAAAGAAGGCCTCTCTAAATCTGCCTGAGTCTCCACAGCTGAAGAACTGATTCAGGAGTGGGATTGTGAGGGATTGTGCCAAAGCAGGAATGACTGTAGGTGATCAGGCTGACTCAGAAGTTGACGTTATGGAGCAGGTCAGCATTGGAGCCGCTGGAGCAAATTGGAGAATGTACTCAACAGTACTTTTTACCTTCTGGAAACACTCTATATGCTGTTATATATATTTTTTTTTACAACATTTTAGAATAGCTATATGTGTCATATATATATATATATATAATGGGATAAGGATGTTCACAACTAATTTTACAGGATTACAATGACATATTCAAAATAAACCCTTGTATGTGTATTAAGAAATTGAATAGATAAAATTTTGATTTCATGTCGACTTTGTGTTCTTTCATAAATGCTAGCCTACAACCATCATATGGCCATCTATGACAACCCGAACATCAGTCATTCATGATCTTCAAATGAAAAAATCCATGTTCAGCTAATGTTGGTGGAACCATTTCTCTCATATAAAAACAGCGATGTTTAGGCCAGGTCACAGTTTTTCATATTGTGAAACATCTACAAGCATGGTTCTTCTATTCCCAAATATGCAGTGGCCAAAAGATACATTGGTGCGATCAAACATAAATATGCTCGGCAGGCAGTTAATCTGTCAACTTCTTAGTGTTATTCATTCTCGGGTTAGTCTGTAGTCAGTAAAGTAGTAACGTCTCTGCTGTGACCACGGCCCATAAATTTTCACAGTTTAGAGCTGGCTGTTAATATAGAGCTGTGTAGCAGTAGAGTTGGTAATGGTTTCCATAAGCCAGTGCTGGAATGCACTAAATCAAAGCCAAGATAACAGCTAAAAGCAAGATCCCCATATTGTCTCCTGTTGAGGTTTCACTCATGAGGATTGTCTCCAAACCATCTCCAGTTTCACAGCCGACTTCACCATAGATGTAGAGAATGACAGCATAATTAGCATGTGTTCAGAAACACTGTTTTGCTTTGAGCGAAGGTGGTTGCTTTGCTTCTAGAAAAACATGAGGCAATTGTTCAACTTCATCGATGTAACCATTTGACAGCACTGGAGGTCATAAGCAGAACATTCAAGTGCAATAAATCTTGGCTTTTTGCTGCCCCTGACGGATGTGGCACAGCCAAGTTGGACGTTTCATGCTTAGCGAGGGACCAGTGGCCTTGCCAAAATCTACAGAAACTCCTAAGCCTTGCCAGGGAGCAAAAGAGGGTACCTGGTCTGCAACTTCACCAATGAACATTACAAGAAGACCACAAACCTGGTGAAAACCCAGTGGAACGGAAACTCTGTGCTCAGATTTCCTACGGCATGTTTTCTACTGCCGTCTCCACTGCAGACATAAAAGCAAACAAACTGAAGGGTTATGCAAACATCTCAGTCATATTGAGCTTGTTCGGAATTATGAACACACCTAGATGGTCGACGTGTGAAATGCGGCACGCTGTGGTGTCACTTTGCCTTAATGAAAGGGAAACAGGAGTTTGTTTGGTTTAGAAACCTGACAACCCTCATCCTTCCAAGATTTGTTGACTTTCCATGAATCAAGCTCGGTTTTTCCTCAGACACCTTTATAGTCAGTGTGAAGTCTTGAAGTATGTGTGCATGTTTAATGAACTCACAAAGTGCTATATATGTTATGGAAGTTCTGGATGTTTTTTTTTTTACATGATGCAAGCTACATTTATAAATTATATTAAAATGACAAACCTAGGTGTAATTCTGAAACCGCAGTGAAGTTGCCAATGAAAATGAATGCTCGATGGTTGCAATGAGCGTGAGCTCGACATGAACAAAAGAGCTATGTGTGGAGTGACCATACTTGAGGGGCTCAGTGAAGGGTAAGAGCCATAGTAATTAAGCTGTTAGCCCAGCAATGAGTTTTTTTCCTTTGCCCGAACTGGAACCTCTCCTGCAGGAGTGTTAAACTGTGTACATTCTCAGATCAAACCACCCCACCGACAGCTTCAAAGAGCTGACAGGCCAGAAAATGCCAGTCATGTGATGAACGGATGAGCAGGGGCTGTAACTAGAGCAGAAAGGCCACAGATTTCCAACCATAGTTTTCACTTTTCTGACTTTAGATATTTGCCTTGAATTTTGAATGTATCTTCTCAGACTAAAAGATTCAAATGCGGAATTGTGACTTAAGATCTTACTGAATTGCATCATCAAATGCACAAATTAATCATCAACCAAAAATCCTTTTGGCTTTTCTCAATTTTCAAAGATCTTTTTTTTTTTTTTGTTCCTCAAATATAATGTAACATCTTCAGCTTTTGTAACTGAAAAATCTTTATTTAAAATACTTTTATTAACTAGTAGTTCTGCATGTTGTTGTGTCTTGAAATGTCAACAGTTTGAAAATAATCTTTTTTTTTATAATGGCTTGTATAAACAAGCTATAATGCTAGTTACCTTGAATAAGAACACATCCAGATTAATGACAGAGACATCTTTAGGACACTCTATCACCCCCTGAGGTGTGTTACCACCCTTGTAACGCAAGAGCACAGAATCTAGCAAGGCTTTGCGTACTTGAGTAAACTATGTTTCTGGTCTAATTCTGACACACTCAAGCTCTGAAATGCAGTGTGGGTAATGGTATTTGAAGGCTCTTAGCTACAGTATCATTTTTGCTCTCTAGTCAGCTGATCAGGAGATAGTACTAGTAATTTTTGGTTTAGGTGGTGAAGGATTGCAGTGATTTGTCCGAAGAATTACAGTAATGCTAATGAACACAAATATGTGTGGCAATCTCAGAGCATGTGGTTATTTTGATATGTAAATACTCTTCTCCTTCTCTCTTTCTCTCTCTAGATGACTCCAGTGCTAGGAGGGAAGGTGCCAGACCAGCTGTTTTTTTTTTTTTGTTCCTCAAATATAATGTAACATCTTCAGCTTTTGTAACTGAAAAATCTTTATTTAAAATACTTTTAACTAGTAGTTCTGCATGTTGTTGTGTCTTGAAATGTCAAGTTTGAAAATAATCTTTTTTTTTATAATGGCTTGTATAAACAAGCTATAATGCTAGTTAACTTGAATAAGAACACATCCAGATTAATGACAGAGACATCTTTAGGACACTCTATCACCCCCTGAGGTGTGTTACCACCCTTGTAACGCAAGAGCACAGAATCTAGCAAGGCTTTGCGTACTTGAGTAAACTATGTTTCTGGTCTAATTCTGACACACTCAAGCTCTGAAATGCAGTGTGGGTAATGGTATTTGAAGGCTCTTAGCTACAGTATCATTTTTGCTCTCTAGTCAGCTGATCAGGAGATAGTACTAGTAATTTTTGGTTTAGGTGGTGAAGGATTGCAGTGATTTGTCCGAAGAATTACAGTAATGCTAATGAACACAAATATGTGTGGCAATCTCAGAGCATGTGGTTATTTTGATATGTAAATACTCTTCTCCTTCTCTCTTTCTCTCTCTAGATGACTCCAGTGCTAGGAGGGAAGGTGCCAGACCAGCTGGTGAAACCGAGTACTCCACTGACCTGGCGGGAAAACTGGGTAAGGTGCTACAGTCCTCTGATCCCCTTTGATCTCCTTCATTCCTGGTATTTATAATTGCTGCCCAGAAAGTCACTGAAAATATGCAGTGCAGCTGCCAAGATGTTTCATACGCTGCTTTTCATGAAATGCAACTTTTAGTTTTACATTGTATTAGAATTTAAAGAAAAAAAATAGAACTTTCAGAAACATTTAGACATAGTAAATGTAGCATAGCATAGCAATGTAGTATAGCGGTGACATTAGTTGTAGCTTAAAGGGTTAGTTCACCCAAAAATGAATATTAGCCCATAAATTTCCGGGGGGTGAACAAAGGCCTCCTGTAGCAAATCAATGTGTTTTTGTAAGAAAAATATCCATATTTAAAATGTAATAATCACTTTAATCTAGCTTGCGCTCACTGTTGTAAACGGAAGCAGTTTCGGGCGGATGACGTATGAGTTCAGCGTTGCACATGCGCCGCTCAGAAGTGACGTGCAGGGGAGAGATCAAAACAAAACAACGGTCACTTATTAGAAGTACAAAACGAGGATTTGTAAAGAAGAATGTCAGAGGATTTTGATATAAGCCAAGAGGAGACTGGTTTTCCTTTGCTAAAGTAAGGAAACTTTGCTTCCTATGCTCCTGTTAACAAACGTTGGTTTTCACGATGCTCACCGGCGCATGCGCAACGCTGAACTCATACGTCATGCTCCCGGAACTGCTTCTGTGTACAACAGTGAGCGCAAGCTAGATTAAAGTGATTATTACGGAAAGATCAAAGACAATTTTTAATATAACTCCGACTGGATTCGTCTGAAAGAAGAAAGTCATATACACCTAGCATGACTTGAGGGTGAGTAATTTATGGGCTAATTTTCATTTTTGGGTGAACTAACCCTATAACAGCACTGCCATTTTGTTGTATTACTGTAACGATGACATTTATTGTAGCATATTTGTTTTGTTGTAGTATATTAGTGTTGAATCTTGTAGCATAGTGGTGCTGCCGTTTTGTTGTAGTATAGTAGTGATGACATTTATTGAGGTATAGCGTATAGTAGCGCTGACGTTTATTGTAGCATAGCTGCTGTTTTGTTGTAGTATAGTAGCGATGACGTTTATTGTAGCATAGCTACTGTTTTGTTGTAGTATAGTAGCGCTGACGTTTATTGTAGCATAGCTGCTGTTTTGTTGTAGTATAGTAGCGATGACGTTTATTGTAGCATAGCTACTGTTTTGTTGTAGTATAGTAGCGCTGACGTTTATTGTAGCATAGCTGCTGTTTTGTTGTAGTATAGTAGCGATGACGTTTATTGTAGCATAGCTACTGTTTTGTTGTAGTATAGTAGCGCTGACGTTTATTGTAGCATAGCTGCTGTTTTGTTGTAGTATAGTAGCGATGACGTTTATTGTAGCATAGCTACTGTTTTGTTGTAGTATAGTAGCGCTGACGTTTATTGTAGCATAGCTGCTGTTTTGTTGTAGTATAGTAGCGCTGACGTTTATTGTAGCATAGCTACTGTTTTGTTGTAGTATAGTAGCGCTGACGTTTATTGTAGCATAGCAGCACTGCTGTTTTGTTGTAGTATAGTAGCGAAGACGTTTATTGTAGCATAGAAGCGCTGCCGTTTTGTTGTAGTATAGTAGCGATGACGTTTATTGTAGCATAGAAGCGCTGCTGTTTTGTTGTAGTATAGTAGCGATGACGTTTATTGTAGCATAGCAGCGCTGCTGTTTTGTTGTAGTATAGTAGCGATGACGTTTATTGTAGCATAGCAGCGCTGCTGTTTTGTTGTAGTATAGTAGCGATGACGTTTATTGTAGCATAGCAGCGCTGCTGTTTTGTTGTAGTATAGTAGCGATGACGTTTATTGTAGCATAGCAGCGCTGCTGTTTTGTTGTAGTATAGTAGCGATGACGTTTATTGTAGCATAGCAGCGCTGCTGTTTTGTTGTAGTATAGTAGCGATGACGTTTATTGTAGCATAGCAGCGCTGCTGTTTTGTTGTAGTATAGTAGCGATGACGTTTATTGTAGCATAGCAGCGCTGCTGTTTTGTTGTAGTATAGTAGCGATGACGTTTATTGTAGCATAGCAGCGCTGCTGTTTTGTTGTAGTATAGTAGCGATGACGTTTATTGTAGCATAGCAGCGCTGCTGTTTTGTTGTAGTATAGTAGCGATGACGTTTATTGTAGCATAGCAGCGCTGCTGTTTTGTTGTAGTATAGTAGCGATGACGTTTATTGTAGCATAGCAGCGCTGCTGTTTTGTTGTAGTATAGTAGCGATGACGTTTATTGTAGCATAGCAGCGCTGCTGTTTTGTTGTAGTATAGTAGCGATGACGTTTATTGTAGCATAGCAGCGCTGCTGTTTTGTTGTAGTATAGTAGCGATGACGTTTATTGTAGCATAGCAGCGCTGCTGTTTTGTTGTAGTATAGTAGCGATGACGTTTATTGTAGCATAGCAGCGCTGCTGTTTTGTTGTAGTATAGTAGCGATGACGTTTATTGTAGCATAGCAGCGCTGCTGTTTTGTTGTAGTATAGTAGCGATGACGTTTATTGTAGCATAGCAGCGCTGCTGTTTTGTTGTAGTATAGTAGCGATGACGTTTATTGTAGCATAGCAGCGCTGCTGTTTTGTTGTAGTATAGTAGCGATGACGTTTATTGTAGCATAGCAGCGCTGCTGTTTTGTTGTAGTATAGTAGCGATGACGTTTATTGTAGCATAGCAGCGCTGCTGTTTTGTTGTAGTATAGTAGCGATGACGTTTATTGTAGCATAGCAGCGCTGCTGTTTTGTTGTAGTATAGTAGCGATGACGTTTATTGTAGCATAGCAGCGCTGCTGTTTTGTTGTAGTATAGTAGCGATGACGTTTATTGTAGCATAGCAGCGCTGCTGTTTTGTTGTAGTATAGTAGCGATGACGTTTATTGTAGCATAGCAGCGCTGCTGTTTTGTTGTAGTATAGTAGCGATGACGTTTATTGTAGCATAGCAGCGCTGCTGTTTTGTTGTAGTATAGTAGCGATGACGTTTATTGTAGCATAGCAGCGCTGCTGTTTTGTTGTAGTATAGTAGCGATGACGTTTATTGTAGCATAGCAGCGCTGCTGTTTTGTTGTAGTATAGTAGCGATGACGTTTATTGTAGCATAGCAGCGCTGCTGTTTTGTTGTAGTATAGTAGCGATGACGTTTATTGTAGCATAGCAGCGCTGCTGTTTTGTTGTAGTATAGTAGCGATGACGTTTATTGTAGCATAGCAGCGCTGCTGTTTTGTTGTAGTATAGTAGCTGTGATATTTATTGTAGCATAACAGTGCGGCTGTTTTGTGGTAGTATAGTAGTAGTAACATTTGTTGTAGCCTAATGGTGCTGCCGTTTTGTCATAGTATAGAAGTGAAGGCATTTATCGCAACACACTAGCAATGCTATTTTGTTGTAGTACAGTAGTGGTGATATTTTGTTGTAGCATAGTGGTGCTGCCGTTTTGTTGTAGTATAGCAGTGGTGGCATTTGTTGTAGCCTAGCATTGCTGTCGTTTTGTTGTTGTACACTAGCGGTGACATTTGTTGTAGCATAACAGCGCTGCCATTTTGCTTTAGTATAGTAGCAGTGCCAATTTATTTTTTTTTTGTAGCACAGCAGCACTGGCGTTTTTTTTTTGTAGTGCACTGTAGTAGCACTGCTGTTCTGATATAATATAGTACTCAGCAGTAAAATCTAATACTCAAAGTGTCATAGTCTTACACAATATGACAGCATGCTGTGTGCCGAATGAGCATTGGTGATCCACATTTGATGTGTGGGCCTATGGAAAAACATGTGGCCAACTGAATGGAAACTGAGCCTGTCATAGAGCATTTGGACAGCACGTACAGTTCGTCACCCCTGTATTTCCCCATCAAACCCCCATCTCCAGCTGGCACACATGTGGCTGAATCTTCCAAGATACTGACAGGTAGCCCTGTGGTCTGGGATTGGACAGTCCCCACAGTATTTCCTGTGACTCACTCACTACACCCTGAAGTCACACACTCCTACCTCTAGAGCCCAGTGTTTGCTTTGGTAATTGCATTTGACAAGCCAAAGAGCAGGCTATGTATGTGAAGTGTGAGGGGGGAAGCATTCCATTCCCCTCCGACAGCTGCCCTCTGATTTGATATCGGAGCACCGCTAAACTCGGCGGTGTTCAAAGAGGGCCTGACCTGCTTGTTTTTGTACTGTGTAGCATAGCAGTTGTGATGGGAGATGCTTAGTGGGAGATGCTTAGTTCACTAGTGTATTTGCTTTTGTGGTGTTTGTTCAGAGTCTGCTGTGAGCGGTAACAGTCAGCAGGGAACTATAGAATGAAACTACAGAGGAGCTGCTGTTTGCTTTGTCTGATTGCATTCATGGTGTGGTGCTTTACTCAGTAAATTTGCCCACACAAGAACTTCATGTCCACTCCTTTATGCTTTATTTTCCTTGTAATGTTAGTGGTGTTGTGTAACTTCTGATGATGAATCAGTCTTCCATCTTTCTCCCTTCATTTATTTAAGCTCTTAAAAGCAGTAGTCATGATCATTGTATTATTCCGATTTCAAAATGTAATTTAAATTGCACAAATGTCATAATGATTATTTCACTAATAAACTAGTATAAACTAAAATTTCACCCCAAAATAAAAAATTTAGCCAATTTTGAGGACATTAAAATGGATTCCACATGTTTTGTTTTGTTTTTAAATGAGACACTATATTCATTACCCCAAATTCTCATTACTGTGATGTCAAGTCGTCACCTTTATTTCTCTAGTGCAGATTATTTTTTGACATGCTTTTCACATTCATATCTAAATGCCTTATTAAAGTAGGCTGTAAACCTGAGAAAACTGTTCCAATCACGTTTTAAGATGTATTTCAAAAAAGAAAGGTGCTGTCTAACATTTTCTTTCCTTTTGTCTTTCTTTGTAGTGCGGCCCCGCTTCACGCAGCCGGCCAAAATGAGAAAGCGTGTGATCGCCCGGCCAGTGGGGAGCTCAGTAAGGCTCAAGTGCACCGCAAGCGGCAACCCCAGACCTGACATCGTCTGGCTGAAAGACAGCAGGCCTCTGACGCCCGAGGAGGTGGGCGAGGGCCGAAAGAAGAAGTGGACTCTCAGCCTGAAGAATCTTACACCTGAGCACAGCGGCAAGTACACGTGTCATGTGTCCAACCGTGCCGGGGAGATCAACGCCACCTATAAAGTGGAAGTCATCCGTGAGTCATCCACCTCGTCTCGTTGATGTTTTCCTGGAATGCGATGGAGCTTTTGATGACTCATATAGTGTAGACTGAAAGAATGAACATGCAGCAACAGTTTAATATTTTCTCTAGTTGCTGGATGCTTTCAAGGGATATTAAAAGCTGTCTGGCATGCTGTCAGAACATAGGAAGAATTGACCTAATCATTCCTAACAAACAACATTAGCATTCTTTATTAGCAGCACTAACACACTTCAGCCCCAGCCAAACTGTCTCAATCAGTTAATGGCTTATTATTATTTATGCATGATAAAAAAAACAACTATTTTAATTTTATATTACTAGCAGTGTTATTAAATTGACACATAAATAGCTTGCTATGTATACAGTTTAATGGCAGCCAATTTATTTCATCCCATTTATTTTGCTTCCCAAATTAATTTGCTGCATTTGCTAACTTTACAACCACATCCTAACAGGGAGAAGTGCATTAATCTTGCTCTCAGTAGAGTCATATGTGACATTTTTTTCCTAACTCAAAATAGCCTAAAACTATTTTAGGACATAAAATAGAAAAACAATCTGTGCATTATAGACCCGTAATTGTGTTAAATACTGATTAGTAAATAAAATCGTCCTTATTTCATTACAGAGCGCACAAATTCCAAGCCCATCTTGACAGGCACTCATCCAGTAAACACTACAGTAGACTACGGTGGCACCACATCTTTCCAGTGTAAAGTACGCAGTGATGTCAAGCCGGTTATCCAGTGGCTAAAGAGGGTCGAACCAGGCGGTGAGAGCAAGTACAACTCCACCATTGAGGTCGGAGACCATCACTTCGTTGTGTTGCCCACGGGTGATGTGTGGTCACGACCAGACGGCTCCTATTTGAACAAGCTACTTATCACTCGAGCCAAGGAGGAGGACGCTGGCATGTACATCTGCCTTGGAGCCAATACCATGGGCTACAGCTTCCGCAGTGCCTTCCTTACTGTTCTGCCTGGTCAGTTTTATTCTCTGCTTTTTTATTTTTCCTTGAAATCCACTAATAATAGGCTATTTAGTCAAGGTTTCTTGCTCCAAACAATCATAATTTTTCATGCTGTTTGACTATTGTAGCTACAGTAGCGAAAAAGCATCAACAAACATACTATGATTCAAAAGGTTGGGGTCGGTAAGGGTTTTCTTTAATGTTTTTGAAGAAGTCTCACCAAGGCTGCATTTATTTGATCTAAAATACAGTAATATTGTGAAATATTATTACAGTTTGGGATAACTGTTTTCTATTTGAATATATTTTAAAATGTAATTTATTCCTGTGATGGCAAAGCTGAATGTTCAGCTCTTCAGTGTCACGTGATCCTTTTCGGAAATCATTCTAATATGCTGATTTGGTGCTCAGGGAACAATTATTATTATTATTATTATTATCATCAATGTTAAAACCATGATACATTTTTTTTCAGGATTGTTGAATGAATAGAAAACTCAGAAGAACAGCATTTATTTGAAATCAAAATCTTTTGTAACATTATAAATGTCTTTACTGTCACTTTTGATCAATTTAATGCACTCTTGCTGAGCAAAAGTACACTTTTCTCCAAAAAAAAAAAATTCTTAATGACCCCAAACTTTTGAACAGTAGTATAAATATATACAGTATATAAATAAAAGACAGATATATGTTAGGGCTAGAAAAAAAAATAGTTTAATTAGTAGCGATAATTACTATCTAATGGAAGTATTAGCATCATTTTAATTTTGGCGATACTGGCCTTGATATTATTAGGTTAAAAGACGATAAATATATATTTTTTTTATTAGCAGTAGTATAGTAGTATTAACATTAATTAATTCGATTTAATATGATTAAAAAATAATATTATTCAATATATTATTGAAAAGAAATTTCCTTTATTTTGATTCAACGTTAATTTGACTAAAAAATGACCCTAACCCTAAGTATAACTACAATAAATCACAGAAATCTGTCACTTCGTTTAAACTTAATTTTTCAATTGATTTACAGTCCTGATGCAAATTATGTAAATGATTTGTGTTATGATTGGCTAACCTTCACATATTGATGTAGTCCTGCTGGGTAAATAAAGTGCTAAATACTGGATCAGCATGTAGAAGTGGGCAGTTGTGTTGATGTGCTCATGGTCATGCTATCATACAGTACCATGACAATTTCTGAATTTTTGCATTTGTTTCTAGCCTGAATGTCCCATCTGATACTCTTCCTCATTGTAAAGAAATTCAGCCATGTCAAATAATGTGACACTGATCAGTCTGTCAGTTGTTGTTCTTTATATTGTGCTTTTCTCGTCTCCGTCTTCATCCAGACCCAAAGCCGCCATTCTCCCCGATCCCGTCGGTTCTGCCTCCCAGCCTTCCCTGGCCCGTCATCATCGGCATCCCCACGGGAGTGGTCTTCATTTTGGGCACCGTCCTGCTCTGGTTCTGCCAGTCCAGGAAGCACTGTTCCTCAGGAGCCATAATCTCAGGCCAGACTTTACCAAACGGCCACCGACAGCCACCCAGAGACCAGGCGCGGGCGGCTGCCGAGAAAGACTGCATTGGCTCCGTCACCTACGAGGAGTATTTGGCTCAGCAGCAACAACAACAGCTTCTGCTGGCCCAAGCTGCCCCCAAAGTCTACCCAAAGATCTATCCAGACATTCACACACATACCCACTCGCACGTGGACGGCAAAATTCACCAGCACCAACACATCCACTACCAATGTTAGCCTTCATACTTACAGTCCACTGGTTCATTCTTCAAAGATCTCCTCAGTCGCTGACGCAACATTTTGTCGCCAAAATAGGGCAGCGTGTTGGCCAGGATGTTTTGGCCAGGATGTTTTGAAATAGAGAAAGACTTCACAGAAACATTGCTGACAGCAAAAACTTTTGTAGGTTTGTATGGGACAAAAGACACATGTATTGTCTCTTCAATCTGCTTTCAAACTGTGATTCAGGAGCGAACTGATGCTACGATATTTTAATACGATTTTTTTCATAAGCCCATTGACTAATTTTGTGGATGGGGCCAAAAGGATTTTTTGGATTAGCACCAAATGTCAGTGAAACGTTCGTTTGCATGCATAAGAAAATTGTTTGCAGATATTGAGAGATAACGTTACAGTTTATTTCCTGTAACAGTTTATATCCTTCACTGATTGAATACATGAGAGCATATGCTCATGTTGTTTTTGCAGGTATGGTCTACGTTGTTTCAACTTTAAGAAATGGTGTAGGTTCAGTCTAGTTTTCTGTCTAACTGTATCTTTAATGGAAAAAGAGAATATCCTTGAGCTGTAGTTATATCATAACTAAAGATATGATGAGATTGTGGCATTGTACGTTCTGGCAAGGGTTCCTTGTGTTTTCATGAACTTTGTACTTTTATTTTCAGGGGCTGCTCTGAATAACCTGAGGTACCGCAATTAAATGTAAATGTAAATGTAAAGAGACCACTGCAGGGAATATCAGCAAAACACCATTGCCATGAAGGGATGTACATGGTCTGTAACAATCCGTAGGTGGTATGAATGCCTGATCCCAAGGTTTCCTAGCAGAACATTGTCCAGAGTGTAACACGGCCTGCCTTCTTCCCATAGTGCATCCTGCTGCCATCTCTTCCCCAGGTAAACACATACACACCCAGCCATCCACCTGATCTAAAAGAAAATGTGATTCATCAAACCAGGCAGCCTTCTTCCATTGCTCCATGGTTCAGTTCTCACCCTCACATGCATACTGTAGATGTTTTCGGCGGTGGACAGGGGTCATCGTGGGTCTGTGGCTATTCAGCCCCATATGCGGCAAACTGTGATGTACTGTGTGTTCTGACACCTTTCTATCATAGCTCAAATGGCTGAAAAACTTAACTCTGGCCATAGTACCTCTTCTGAGTGATATATAGCTTCGTGCTGCCTAATATATCACAACATTGACAGTTATACTTAAAGCTACTGCATAAAAAATGCATTATTAAAATTGATAATTATACAATTTTACACTATACAAACACACAGGTCATCGTGGGTCTGTGGCTATTCAGCCCCATATGCGGCAAACTGTGATGTACTGTGTGTTCTGACACCTTTCTATCATAGCTCAAATGGCTGAAAAACTTAACTCTGGCCATAGTACCTCTTCTGAGTGATATATAGCTTCGTGCTGCCTAATATATCACAACATTGACAGTTATACTTAAACCTACTGCATAAAAAATGCATTATTAAAATTGATAATTATACAATTTTACACTATACAAACACACAACAACCAAAGAGAGAAATACATTGTACAACTTGAATAATGTAACTACACTGCTGTTCCAAAATTTGGGGTCAGTATGATGTTTTTTGAAAAGTCTCAATTCTCACCACAGCTGCATTTATTTGATCAAAAATACAGAGAAACAGTAATATTGTGAAATGGTATTACTATTTAAAACAACTGTTTTGTTTGTGAATATATGTTAAAATGTAATTTCTTCCTGTGATGGCAAATCTTAACTTTCAAGTGTCACGTGATCCTTCAGAAATCATTGTAATATGCCGATTTGGTGCTCAATAAACATTTCTTATTAATGTTGAAAAACATTTTTTATTTTTTTTTGTGGAAAATGTAATACATGATGAATAGAAAGTTCAAAAGAACAGCATTTCAGTGTAACATTATAAATGCTTTTACTGACACTTTTGAATTAAATGCATCCTTGCTGATTAAAGTAGCATATTTCTTTCTTTCAATCAATCAATCAATAAAAGCTTACTGACCTCAAACTTTTGAAAGGTAGTGTAAAAATGCTTTAATGACCATAATGGCATTTTAAAACCATAGTGTTTAAAGGTTTTTTTTTTTTTATTGTCACCATGGATTTATATTTTGATTGTTAAACTCTGTGTGTGTCTAACTGATGCAGTAGCTTAAAACTTTTTGTGCTACTGTATCATTTATAATAAAATGTAAAAAAAGTTTTTTATTTAAAAATGTGTTCCTTTTATTTGCAGTTGATTTCATCTAAGCCTGTGGCTGCAAGTCAGTAGTTTACTGTAAAATCTGAAAATAAAGCAATGCCAGTCAAATTTACTAAACCAAATTTACAACTAAAGTTTATTTCACTCAAATGTTAGCGGAAGTTCATTGCACTTAGCAGAAAAGAGTTCTGTGAACTCGAAGACAAATCAGGGGAGTAAATGATGAACTGAAGGGGTTATTTTCTGCACAAGATTAATGTAGGGGAGGTCTGTTAGTGTTTAATGTTACGTTATGTTGGGATTTAATACTGTTTCTGTTGTCTGTGTTTTGGGGGTTATCATAATGCTGAAGAGCGTGTGTTTAAGTCAAGGATGAGTAAAGAAACACTGATGTTTTAGTGGCAATAAGTTACTGTAAAGGCAAGTTTTTTTAACAGCATACGAATTCATTTTTATTGGTGTTTCTAGTTAATTGTGGCCAGTCTAAGGCACACCTGTGCAATAATCATGCTGTCTAATCAGCATCTTGATATGCCACACCTGTGAGGTGGATGGATTATCTCGGCAAAGGAGAAGTGCTCACTAACACAGATTTAGACAGATTTGTGAACAATATTTGAGAGAAATAGGCCTTTTGTGTACATAGAAAAAGTCTTAGATCTTTGAGTTCAGCGGATCAGCTCCAGGCATGACGAAGCGGATATCGTCCTCTTTTGGAAGGCCAAACAAAGTAGTTTTGCTTTCACAACGAAACACAGCGCCTTCACAACATGGCAGCGGCAGCAACAATACTACAGCGAGAATAAAAGTTACGCCTTCTTTCTTTGCGTGAACATTTGGGCGGCGTTATGCAAATCTTCCCACATCGTGACGTAGATATGTGGGGGCGTGTTAGAACGAGCCGTTTTAGGTAGGTGTGGCTGACTCTTAACTTTTATAAAGAATATCTCTTTGGATTTGAGACTTTAGTCTCAAATTTTACAGATCTTCCTTATGCACCAAGAGCTTGTAACACTCCAAAGAGAAAGGAAACATTGAAATCGCATCATATGACCCCTTTAAGACACAACACATAAGACACTCTTTTTCGCCACCTGCTGGCGTATATATGTAATATGAAGAAATGGTCACTGAACGAATCAGAACGAATCATTTTGGTGAACGAACTGAAAATGAACGAATCTCTTGAAAGAATAAAATTTCCATCACTAGAATGAGACAAGTTAAGTTCGTGGCTAATTTCAAAGGGTTTATTTAGCTTCAATTACCACCTGACAACACTTTAAACATTACAGTGTTTTTTGCTTACATATTTATAGACTGTGGAAGTAAATAACAATAATAACAGCATGCAAAAGTCTTTTGAAGATTTTATTTTTAAGTTTACTATATAATAATTGTATTTGTATTTAATACTCCCTTTTTATTTTAAAATATTTAAAATTATGTACAGTATAATAGTATTATCACACTTGTTTATTATTTTATTTCAAAAAAACTAACTAAAAGTGCAATAATATTATCTCTATTATTTATTTATTTTTATAGCTATATTTATTTATTATTTATAGTTATATTGTATATATATATATATATTTATATATATATATATATAAAATATGTATTATATATTCTCTTATGAGAACCAGGCTGAAAAACGTATGTGCACCTCTGTCTAACACAGTGTTTCTTAACCCTGGTCCTGGGCGCCCCCAGGACTGCACATTTTGTGTGTCTCCCTAATGCACCTTTGTCTATAACACATGCACAAAGGAGCCACATGTTCGTCCTTTTCATTGAACACAAAGAAATTAAGTTTACTGAACTTAATTGCAATGCTTTAAGTAACAGAAAGTACTAAAAACTCGATCAAACTGAGTAACGTCAACATAGCAGAAACAAATAAGTAAGATGAACGTAATTTTACTAAGTTAACAGTGCATCATCTTTTACAGTGAACCTACTGTAAATCGCTAGTAAGTTACTCTAAACTTTATAATATTTTTCCAGTGTTAATCATTCTGAAAAGATTACTATAAAGTATTATGAATTCTTTTAAATGCATTATGTATTAGCGTAATACTGTAATTCTTTTTTTTTAAAAAGTGTTTTTTCCCCCTCCATTACAAATCATATTGTATGCATAAGATCAGGAAGGTTTTGTCGAAAATCAGGAAGCTACAATACCACACAGCTTTGAAAGCACTACTGCTGCTTCTCAACCTCTTCATTCTGCTCTTGAAGTTCTTCATGAATAGCGACGAGTGAGCGTCTTCAGTGAGATACAGAAACCTTGAGTGCCTATAAGGCCAACACCTGGGAATACCTGGCTGTTTCTTTCAAAGAATGAACTCTCTGTTTGCTTTCCTCCTTTTTCAAACAGTCATAATGGCTCGCTCAACAACAAAGCTGCAATTTGAAAGAGTGAAAAAAAAAACACACACCCTCTGAAAACTGGTTGCCAGTGGTTTTCCTTAAATGTTTACCTTGCGTACAAAAAGAAAAAGATGCAGAGAGCAAGAAGAGGGACAAAAAAAGTGTCTGTGAGATGGGACCGGAGCCAAAGCCTTTAAAGTCTGCCACAGAACCATGACAAAAGCAGCTTAATCTCGGTGTTGTCTTTCGGCCTTTCTTTACACATCCTGCCAAGCTGCCTTAGAGGAAAGGAATCTTTCTACAGTCCCACTGACATCATGAAAGCCCGGGATGAAATCAGGGTCATCAAAGCCATTCACATGTGGGACATCTGTGCAAGTGTGCTAAACGCATGAGCGTTGGGCTTTTCCAACCCCTACCTGTCCATCTTTTCCTTCAGACCACCTCTGAAGCCACAACAGACATCTGAAATGCCTTGATCTATAACACAGGCGCTTATTGTCCAAGGTGAGACATTTGGGTGAAACGCGACAACGATTAAACAGGAAGTTCCATAAAGCCATTCACACAGATAAAACCCTCTTTTAGCGCCTTGAATGAAACCAGAGGATTCAGCATGGAGGAAGTGCCGTCATTGTGTTCGGCAGGTGTTGCAACACATTGTTTGCATTAAATGCGAACATCCAGGGCATCCTCATCGTTTAACTTATTTCCTGTAATTATTCACAGGACTGCAGGTCATGACCGCTCACATTGTCCACACTTGTAAAATTACAATATCATTAATCACAGCTGTGGCAAGAATGAGTAGTTGATGACATGGGACCGATTCAACGTTGACGTTTGTGTCGTGTGGAACAAGGTCGATTTTTTTTGTTTTGTTTTTAAACAAATGGTCTTTATTTCTTTCAAAATACGTGTTGTCCAGACCATAGCCTAAATAGCAATAATTTATAGCAATAGCCTATATAGAATCAAATACTAATCTAAAACTGTTGACATCTTTTTGTTGTCGTTTCAGGCTAACGTACATATTTTTTACAAATGTTAATTTGGCAATTCTGTTTCACGAGAAAA